GGCCGCCGCCGAGGTCGAAGAGTTCCGGGTGCGAATGCTCGGACGCAAAGGGAAATGAACGACGTGTTCGAAGAGTTCAAGAAAGTGGCGCCGGAGTTGAAAAAAGAGCTCGGCCAGAAGATCAACGCGCTGAAAACACGCATCAACGACAAAATAGCGGAGATGAAATCCGCTCTGGAAAATACCGAAACCGACTCGGACGCGGCCATCGACATGACCCGTCCGGGATCGAACGACCCGATCGGCAGCCGGCATCCGATCTCGCTGGTAAGGAACGAAATCGTCGACATCTTCGCGCGGCTCGGCTATACGGTCGCCGAAGGGCCCGAATCGAAGACGACTGGCACGTATTCTCGGCGCTGAATTTTCCGCCGGAGCATCCGGCCCGCGATATGCAGGACACGTTTTTCATCCGCAAAAACCCGGATATCCTGCTGCGGACGCACACCAGTTCGATCCAGGTGCGCACGATGGAGCGTCAGAAACCGCCGATCCGCGTGGTTTGCCCGGGGAGGGTATTCCGCAACGAGCCATTTCGTACCGGGCGCACTGCATTTTTCAACCAGGTCGAAGGACTTTATATCGACGAAAACGTATCGTTCGCCGACCTGAACAGAGCATTCTGTATTTCGCCAAGGAGATGTTCGGCGAAAAGGCGCAGATCCGGATGCGCCCGTCGTACTTCCCGTTCACCGAGCCGTCGGCCGAAGTGGACGTGTCGTGCAACTTGTGCGGAGGCAAAGGATGCAACGTATGCAAACATACCGGCTGGCTCGAAATCATGGGCTGCGGGATGGTCGATCCGAACGTGCTCGAAGCGTCGGGCATCGACCCGCAACGGTATTCGGGCTTCGCATTCGGCATGGGAGTTGAACGGATCGCCATGTTGAAATACGGCGTCAAGGATCTGAGGCTCTACTTCGAAAACGACGCGCGTTTCTTGCGCCAGTTCGATTCTGTTTTCTAAAAACCCGGAGGGGCTGTTTATGACGAAACTGACAAAATCTCTTTGCGTGGGTGCCGCCGCTGCGGCGCTGCTGTTTTGCGGCCCGTCCCGTCCGGCCTATGCTTCGAAACCGGAAGCGCGGACAGACCGGGGATATTCGCCGGAGCAGACGGCTTCTTATTATTACACCGAAGGGATCAAGAACACATCATGAACGGCGATCCGCAACAGTCGGTAGACCTTTTCAAAAAGGTGCTGGAGATCGATTCGACGCATGCGCCGACCCTTTTCGAGTTGGCCACGCTCACGATGTCCGAGCCCGAAACCGCCCTCCGGTACAGTCTGCGGGCCAATGCCGCCGACACGGGCAACATCTGGTACCGAACCCAGCTCGGACGGCTGCTGATCGCCACGCAGCGCTACGACTCGGCGATGACGGTTTACAATTCGCTGCTGAAGGCCGCTCCGACAATCCGGACAACTACCGGCTGATCGCCATGCTGTACGAACAGAAAGGCGATCCCGAGAAAGCGCTGATCATCCTCGATTCGGCCGAACGCCAACTCGGCGCCGTCGAAATGCTGGCGGGGTATAAGCGGCAACTGCTGCTGAACATGAACAGTACGACCGGGCCTTGGTCGAGGCGAAAGCCATGGTGGAAAATTTCCCTTACGACGAAGACAACTACGTCGAACTGGCGGAACTCTACACCACGCTCGGACAGCTCGCGCAGGCGCAGGAAGCTTATCGGAAAGCGCAGGAGATCAATCCCAACAGTCTGCGCGTCATCGCGTCGCTGAATGATTTTTACAAGCGCACGAACGACAATGTCCGCTTCCTGTCGACGGCTGCGCAACTTTTCCGGTCGAAAGATTTCCGCTCGAAACGAAACTGAAATTTTTCGAAGAACTCACCCAAACGCCGATTATTACCGCGACTATTACGTCCAACTCGGAGAACTGGCTTCGTCGCTGGCGATCACTTATCCCGAAGACTACCGGACGGTCGAACTGTACGCCAAACACCTGATCGCCGGAGGATTTCTGGAAGACGCGCTCAGTCTGTACAATCCTACCTGAACGATTCGACCGACCGCAAAGAGCCGTTCAACACCGTCATCGAGATCGAAGCATATCAGAAACGGCCCGATTCGGTGGCCAAATACACGGCAATGGCCTTACAGCGCTTCCCGTCCGACCCGGAGCTCTACCTGCGCAAGGGATCTATTTCGGCCTACATGCTGAACAACCCGAAAGAAGCCGAACCGGCCTACCGCGAAGCGCTCAAATACGCTAAAACCGACTCGCTGCGCAGTGTGATCTACGGCGTGCTGGGAGACATTACCAAACGCTCGGCGACTACAAAACTGCTTCAAATCGTATGAAAAAGGCATGAAGCTCGATACGACCAATGCGGTCATATACAACAACTACGCTTATTTCCTGAGCCTGCGCAACGAGCGGCTCGACAGGCGCTCGCGATGACGGAAAAGGCGATCCGGCTGTCGCCGAACAACCCGACCTACCTGGATACCTACGCATGGGTGCTCTACCAGTTGGGCCGGTACGAAGAAGCACGGACGCCGATGCGGCAGGCCGTATCGCTCGATCGTACCGGCAACAAGGAACTGTTCCTGCACTACGGCGACATCCTCTATAACTGAAAGACAACTTCATGGCTTCGATTTACTGGAAAAAGGCGCTGGAAAGCGGTTACGATCCGGAGCAGATCGAACAACGGCTTAAACAAATCGAATAACGATGACCCGGACAAGACTGTTGCTGACCCTTTTGTTTGCCCTTGCGACGCTGAGCGTGCCGGCCCAGCAGTTGGAATCGTTGCGCGAAGAGATCCGGCAAGCCGAAGAGGAGATCAAAATGACCAACCAGTTGCTGTCGAAAACGCAGAAAACCAGCAAACGACGACCGGCAGCTAAACCTGATCCGCAATAAGATCCGCAACCGGAAGAACATCATCTCGAACCTCGAAAAACAGTCGGGATTGATCGAAAACAACATCGGTGCGAAAAACACGACGATCCGGTCGCTGGAACAGGATCTGAATCGGCTGCGGCAGGAATACGCCGCGATGGTTTACGATTCCTATAAGAATTACAAGCTGAACAACTTCATGCTCTTTCTGTTCGCATCGCGGGATTTCAACGACGCTACGCTGCGGATCGCCTATATGCACCGCTACAACCGGATGCGGGAACAGAAAGCCGCCGAAATCGATTCGGTATCGGCCTCGGTCGGACGCGAAATATCCAGCCTGCAAAGTCAGAAGGAGGAACTCGACAAAGTGCGCCGCAGCCGCAACGAAGAGCTGACCTCGCTGGACAAGGACGAAACGCAGTACCGCACCTCGTCGCAGAAACTGCAGCAGGAAGCGGGCAAACTGAACTCGATCATCAAGGCGAACAGGAAGCGGATCGAACAGATGCAGAAACAGATACGGCAGATCATCGCCGAAGAATCGCGCAAAAACAAGCGAAACCGCAAACGTCCGAACAACGGGAATTCGACGTCAAGCTCTCCGGACAATTCGAACAGAATACCGGCAAGTTGCCCTACCCGGTGCGGGAGTCATCGTAAATAACTACGGACTCCACTCGCACACTGCGATCAAAGGCGTCGTCGAAAAGAACCAGGGCGTCGACATCGCGGCCGAACGGGAGCCGAAGTGCGCGCCGTGTTCGAGGGAGAAGTCAGCCAGGTGCTGCTGAACCAATGGACGAACAAGGTCGTCCTGCTGCGTCACGGAAACTACCTGACCCTTTACAGCAACCTCGCTTCGGTCAACGTCAAGGTGGGCGACCGGTCACGCTGAACCAGCCGATCGGGCGGATCGCTTCGTCCGAAGACAGTAACGATTGCACGCTGCATTTCGAAGTATGGAAACTCGACGCGCAGAACAATCCCGTCAACCTGAATCCGGAAAAATGGCTGAGACGATAACCCGAAAACGAATTAAACTACGATACGAACAATGCCGGTAAATTACTGCACCGAAGCGTGCGACTTCATATTCAGGGGCAAAAGAAAAACCTCCGCATGGATCAGGCGAACGGCCCGGACGGAGGGGTGGGACACGGAGCCGTATCGGTCGTCTTCTGTTCGGACGAACGGCTGCTGGAAATAAATAACAAATACCTGAACCACAATTACTTTACGGATATTATTACGTTCGATTACAGCGATCCGGAGAAGAAAAGATCGCCGGAGACCTGATGATCGGAATCGGTACCGTGCGCGATAACGCGGCCGCTTTCGGAACGACGTTCGAAAACGAACTGCAGCGCGTGATCATTCACGGTATTCTGCATTTGTGCGGCTACGGCGACAAAACGCCCGAAGAAGCCGCACGGATGAAAAGTCTGGAAAACAATACCTGGACCTGTTTTACAACGAAATCCCCGGGTCCGCGCCGCGTCGGGTAGACAAGAAGCGGAAAGGGGAGCCGGAAAAACAAAAAAAATGAAATTCGAATACGATATCATCGTCGTCGAGGAGGACATGCCGGATGCGAAGCGGCGGCGGCGGCGGCCAATATGGGCTGCCGGACGCTGTTAATCACAATGGACATGGGCAATTCGCCCAGATGTCGTGCAATCCGGCCATCGGGGGCGTAGCCAAAGGACAGATCGTCCGGGAGATCGATGCGATGGGCGGTTATACGGGCATCGTCACCGACCGTACGACGCTGCAATTCCGTATGCTGAACCGTTCGAAGGGCCGGCGATGTGGAGTCCGCGCGCGCAGTGCGACAAGGCGCGCTTCTCGCTGCTGTGGCGCGAAATGCTCGAAAACACGCAAAATCTCTACCTGTGGCAAGACGCCGTAACCGCCCTTCAGATCGAACAAAATACGGTCGCCGGGGTCACGACTCGGATGGGAGTGCAATTCCGCTCGAAAGCCGTTATTTTGACCGCAGGAACCTTCCTCGAAGGGTTGATGCACATCGGCGGACGCATGTTCCGGGCGGTCGCGCCGGCGATCCCGCTTCGCACGGGCTGAGCGCCCACTGGCCGGGACTCGGTTTCGAAGTCGGACGCATGAAAACCGGCACTCCGGCCCGGCTCGACGCCCGTTCGATCGACTTCAGCCGACTCGAAGAGCAACAAGGAGACGAAACACCCGTAAATTTTCATATTCTACTTATACAGAGTGTATTAAAACAAATTCCTTGTTATCTCGTTTACACATCGAAAGAAGTGCACGATATTTTGAGGAGCGGATTCGCCGATTCGCCGTTGTTCAACGGCACTATCAAGGGGATCGGACCACGCTACTGTCCGAGTATCGAAGATAAGTTGCGGACTTTCGCCGGCAAGGATTCCCATCAACTTTTTCTCGAACCCGAAGGAGCCGACACCCACGAATACTACCTGAACGGTTTTTCGTCGTCGTTGCCATGGGATATTCAGGTGGCGGCGCTGCAAAAATCAAGGATTCGAAAATGTACAACTTTACCGGCCCGGTTATGCGATCGAATACGACTATTTTCCGCCGACCCAGCTCTACCATTCGCTGGAGACGAAACTGATCGGCGGATTGTTTTTTGCCGGTCAGGTGACCGGAACGACAGGATACGAAGAAGCCGCTGCACAGGGACTGATGGCCGGAATCAACGCCGTACTGAAACTGCGGGACGACGAACCGCTCGTACTGCGGCGCGACGAATCGTACATCGGGGTATTGATCGACGACCTGGTCACCAAGGCGTCGACGAACCTTATCGGATGTTCACCAGCCGCGCCGAATACCGGATTTTGCTCCGGCAGGACAATGCGGATATCCGGCTTACGCCGATTTCGTATAAAATAGGGCTTGCGGATGAAAAAGGTATCGAAAAACGATGCAAAAAAAATCGTCCGTAGAATCGCTTATTTCATTCGTTCGTCAACTGAGTGTCACTCCGGCCGATTTGGAGGAGTATTTAAAATCGATCGAATCGACGCCGCTGACCCAGGGACGAAAACTTTACGATATCATTTTACGCAATAAAATCACGTTGAACGGACTGGCGGAATACCTGCCCGAACTGGCCGATTTCATTTTTGAAAACGGGTGTTCGCAGGAAGTGATCGAAGAAGCCGAAATCCAGATCAAATATCACGGATACATCGAGCGCGAAAGGCACATCGCCGACAAAATGACGCGACTCGAAAATATCCGGATCCGACCGGATTTCAATTACAGCGAACTGACTTCGCTTTCGATCGAATCCCGACAGAAACTGACGAGAATCCGCCCGTCTACCATCGGACAGGCTTCGCGGATACCGGGAGTCAGCCCGGCCGACATCAACGTACTGTTGGTTTATTTCGGACGTTATTGTTCCACGTGGAACAAATCTTTATTTAAAACATCCATCGTGGAGAATGTTCCCGTGGAACAAATTTAAAAGAAATGAAAAACATTTTCGACCTATCAAAAAACGGAGCTAAAAAGATTTATATAGACGGGACGCTACATCCGATCAAAGTCGGTATGCGGGAGATATCACTGCAAAACGGGAAAAAAGTCTGCGTTTACGATACGACCGGCGCCTATACGACGACAATTATCAAATCGACATCCGGAAGGGAATGCCGAAAGTCAGGGAACCGTGGATCAAGGAGAGGGAGAAAGAGGGCGAATTCCATACCCAGTTGTGGTATGCCCGGCACGGGATCATCACACCCGAATGGAATACGTCGCCATCCGGGAGAATCAGAACAACGAACGGGAAGACCGCATCACACCCGAAATGGTACGGGAAGAGATTGCCGAAGGACGCGCCGTACTGCCGTCCAATTACCGGCATCCGGAAGCGGAACCGATGATTATCGGCAGTAATTCTTGGTCCAAATCAACGCCAACATCGGTAATTCGGCGCTGGTCTCGTCGATCGAGGAAGAGGTCGAAAAAGCCATGTGGGCCGTCAAATGGGGAGCCGACACCGTGATGGATCTGTCAACGGGCAAGGAGATCCACCAAACCCGCGAAGCTATCCTGCGCAACGTTCCCGTACCGATCGGCACCGTACCGATGTACCAGGCGTTGGAAAAGTAGGCGGCGAAATTGCCGATCTGACCTGGGAAGTGTATTACGATACGCTGGTCGAACAGTGCGAACAAGGGGTGGATTACTTCACTATCCATGCCGGTATCTTACAGCGCCACCTGCCCGCCGCACTGAAACGCGTGACCGGAATCGTTTCGCGCGGCGGGTCGATTCTTGCAAAATGGATGAGCATCAACAAACAGGAAAACTTTTTGTATACCCATTTCGAAGACATTTGCAAACTGCTTAAAAATACGACATCGCTTTCCTCGCTCGGCGATGGCCTGCGTCCGGGAAGCATTGCCGATGCAAACGACGCAGCCCAGTTCGGAGAGCTGGAAGTACTCGGAGAACTGGCTAAAATCGCATGGAAACACGACGTACAGGTCATTATCGAAGGGCCGGACCGTTCCGATGCAAAAAATCCGTGAAAATATGGACAAGCAAATCAAATACTGCCACGGAGCCCCGTTCTACACGTTGGGACCGCTGGTCAGCGACATCGGAGCCGGATACGACCACATTACCTCCGCAATCGGCGCAGCGATGATCGGATGGATGGGACCGCCATGCTGTGCTACGTAACCACCAAGGAGCACCTGGCCCTGCCGAACAAGGACGATGTCCGCGAAGGCGTCGTAACTTACAAACTGGCCGCCCATGCGGCGGACATCGCGAAAGGACATCCCGGAGCAGCCGAACGCGACCTGCAAATGAGCCATGCCCGGTATGAAATGCGCTGGAACGACCAGTTCAACCTGTCGCTCGACCCGGAACGGGCCCGCCGGATGCACTTCGAAATGATTCGCGAAGGATCCGACCACTGCTCGATGTGCGGGCCGCACTTCTGCGCCATGAAAATTACGAAGTCTATTTTAAAAACATTAATAATCAATTATATAAAAAAGAGAGACGATCTGTCTCTCTTTTTTTACGCCTTCGGAATCCGCAGTATGTTCCGCTTTCGATCCGAAATAACGTTATTTATAAAATTTCTACCGGTTGTCCGCGCAAAAAAGCGATCGGTCAATTTTCGTCTATTACGAACCGAATCTGGGCTACCGTCCTGAAAGGCACTCCGTTACGTTTAGCCGGATTCCATCCGCGCACCGCAATATCGTAAATCTTATCGATAACACCTGCGAATACTGCTTCAACGCCCCGCCCAGCTCCACGATCCGGTGCACGATCCCGTCTTCGTCGATATCGACTTCGAGTAAAAACACGTCCCGCCTGTCCCGGATCGAGCAGGCTGCGGTCGTCAATCAGCTTTTCGATCTGCGGCCGCCAAAGCTCCGGTAATTTCAGCAGCGATACGCCATTAAAAGAGGGCGCCTCGTACTTGGCCTCGGTTTGCTCGATATAATTAATCCCATGCCTTTAAACAGCCTTCTATTGCGGTCGTACTGCAGACGCACGACCGGCGCATCCGGCGATACGGCAAAACTGTATTCCCGCTGGCCGATCCGCAGCTTCACCAGCGAACAGCCGTCTCCTTTCGGCTCTTCGGTCACCGAAGCGTCGGCCACCTTGAAATCACAGGCCATCTGTTTGGCGAATTCCCGATCCGAATAGCGGTAAATCGACGTATAACCGGGCGTAGTAATGATGATGCGGCAACTATCCGCCTGTGCGAAGCAAACGGCGGAAATCCCCGCAAAACCAGTAATAAAAGCAACTTTTTCAACTTACACAAGTCTTCAATTATTATGGAAACGGAAAACGGAGACCGTCTCTTATTTGGCAGCCATTTTAGCCCAACTGTCTTTCAACGTAACGGTACGGTTGAATACTTTCCCAGCCGCCGTGGAATCTCTGTCCACGCAGAAATAACCCAACCGTTCGAACTGGAAAGTATCTCCTTCCGCAGCTTCGTTCAGCGAAGGTTCGAGATATCCGGTTACGGTCTTCAGCGAATCGGGATTCAGGTAATCCTCGAACGTCTTCCCCTCCTCGATGTCGTTCATATCCTCTTTGACGAACAAGCGGTCGAACAGTCGCACTTCGGCCGGAACCGCATGCCGCGCCGAAACCCAGTGGATCACCCCCTTCACCTTACGCCCGTCGGAAGAGCGTCCCCCCTTGGACATCGGATCGTACGTACAACGCAGTTCGACCACCTTGCCGTCGGCATCCTGATCACTTCGTCGCACCGGATCAAATAGGCGTACCTGAGCCGCACTTCGCCGCCCGGAGAGAGACGGTAATATTTCTTGGGAGGATTTTCCATAAAATCGTCGCGCTCAATATAGATCTCCCGCCCGAACGGAACTTCCCGTTTCCCGGCCGTTTCGTCCTCCGGATTATTGATACAATCGACCGTTTCGGTTTTCTCTTCCGGATAATTGGTAATCACCACGCGGATCGGGTCCAACACGGCCATGCGCCGCCGAGCCCGTTTATTCAAGTCTTCCCGGACGCAGAATTCGAGCAGTCCGAGGTCGATCACGTTATCCCGCTTAGCCACGCCCACCTTATCGGCGAACATTCGCACGCTCTCCGGCGTATAACCCCGACGCCGCAACGCGCAGATCGTCGGCATACGCGGATCGTCCCAACCCATCACGGTGCCCTGCCGCACCAACTGCAACAGTTTCCGCTTGCTCATCATCGTATAGGTCAGGTTCAAACGCGCAAACTCGTACTGATGGCTCGGATAGATATCCAACTTCTCGATAAACCAGTCGTACAGCGGCCGGTGCACATCGAATTCGAGCGTACAGATCGAATGCGTAACCTTCTCGATCGAATCGCTCTGCCCGTGCGCATAATCGTACATCGGATAGATGCACCATTTGTTGCCGGTGCGATGATGCTCGGCATGCAGGATCCGGTACATGATCGGGTCGCGCAGCAGCATATTCGGATGAGCCATATCGATTTTCGCACGCAGCACCTTTTCGCCGTCTCCGAACTCGCCGTTTTTCATCCGTTTCGAACAGGTCGAGGTTCTCTTCCGCCGACCGTTGCGCCACGGGCTCTCCTTGCCCGGCACGGTCACCGTACCCCCGGCTCTGACGAATCTCCTCCTGCGACTGATCGTCCACATAAGCCAGCCCTTTACGGATCAATTCAACGGCCCAAGCGTACAACTGGTCGAAATAATCGGACGCATAGTGCACGCCGGCCCACTCGAAACCGAGCCAACGAACGTCCTGCTGGATCGAATCGACGTACTCGACATCCTCCTTAACCGGGTTCGTATCGTCGAAACGCAAGTTACACTTTCCTCCGTATTTGCGGCTAAAACCGAAATTCAGGCAGATGCTCTTCGCATGCCCGATATGCAGATAACCGTTCGGTTCGGGCGGAAACCGGGTCTGCACCCGTTTCTCGCCCCCGGCGATGCTTTCCTCTACATTTCTTCCAGAAAATTCAAGGATTTTCCTTCAACCGATGCTGATTCTTCGTGCAAATCGCTCATAAAATACCATTTTGCACAAAATTAATTCTATTTTGATAATATCTGCAAATTTTACAGACATTATAATATCCGGGACGGCCGTCACCGGACGATCGTCATCTCGTCGATCAACCGGGTGTCGCCCGCAACCCGTCGATAATAAACAACACGTAACGGATATCCACGCAGATGGTCCGCTGCAGCCGGGGTTCGAAAACGGTATCCCCGCTCATCGCCTCCCAGTTCCCGTCGAACGCCAGCCCGATCAACTCTCCTTTACGGTTCATCACCGGACTGCCCGAATTTCCGCCGTAATATCGTTCGTCGTGATGAAATTTACGGGCAGCACTCCCTTTTCGGCATAAGGCCCGTAATCGCGCTCGCGGTAAAGTTCTTTCAGTTTGTCAGGCACGGCAAATTCGTAAGCGTTCTGCGGATCCTCCTTGGCGATCACTCCGTCCA